TCCTTTTTCCCAAAATATTTTCTACAGTGAAAATATTTTTTTTAGAAGTTGAAGACATCACAATTATAGTTAATACCAAATCGATGAATATAGATTTCAAATTCAGATTGCAAAATGCTAATTTATTTAACGCTGCACGGTGTCTAAAAGTGTCTACACATGCAAAAAAAACCGCGAACTAGCCTTCACGACACTTCTTCTTCTTTTCTTCGTATGAAAGCCGAAACTACCAGGACTACCCGAACAAAAAATTCAGCTCGTTCAGTGGCCCAATTCTCGATATCTAGTGAGTAATATCACAGGGTTTTAAATACTCACACAAATACCCACATGATAATACTGAATGATACCCTCGAGTGCGAATGGAATAGATATTCCATTCCTATAATAAAATAATATTTATGTATGTCTTATAGTAGATACCTGAATATTGATAATCTACCAGTAAATACTGGGAATCTTAGGAATTTTTTTATTTCTATGTTGAATATGTTGAGGAAAGAAAAATGGAAGGAAGTTATTATTGAAATCAGAGTCTTCCTTTGTTATTGTATTGTATTCCTTGGCAGATTCGGTCGATATAGAAATACAATATAAAATACAAAAAAATAGGTGGTGTTTTAGCAGACTGTATATTACTACTATTAAGTGTAAAAAAATAACGTTAAAACTAATTGAGGAAATAAAAAATATTGTTTTAGATATTATCTGGAAGCGGGCAAACCTGAGTGATGACCGCTTCAATTCTGTGCTAGCTGTTTTGATACTCACAACGCGACTGACTCCATCTCTCCCTGGGTAAATTTGAGTTATTCTCCCTAAGTTCCATTTTAGCAGACTGTATATAATAAGGTTACTGATACTTTATATATTAGAAATACTTTCACTGTATTGTACTTTTTCATGACATACCTTGATGAGTTGAGCATATAGATGCGCCGGCAGTTTTTAGACACACGCACCCCCGTTACTCGAAGGTATTCGTGTCAATTTAAATACATAGATTGTGATACAAAATAAATGAGTTTAAATGAGAAAGGAACAATATATTCATCTTGATGATACAATAACGACTTACGTTTTGGTATTGGAAGGATAAATGGAGAAAGGTAAGGTTATGTTTATCAAGTTATTGTAAATATCAGGTAAACTTCTCGTGTCACATCGATTGTTAACAGAATGACGATCTTTTTTTATATAAGACATTTTTTTCTGATGATCTTAATATTTCGAAAATCAAAGTGATGGGCATTTTCAAGCGAATGTTTGGCTGAAGCAGAAGCATCAGGTTTCTTATTTTTTACACTATTACTATTCTTGTGTTTGAGCAAACGGGCTTTTAAATAGTTTTTTGTTTGTATGCCCATATACTTATCGGATTTTCCGATATGGGCAAGGGGTTTGAGATGCAGGAGGGGTACTGTCATGTCGAATGAGTCATGGCCGGTGGGAGAAATCGTATCTGCGTAAAGTTTGGGTCGGTGTATGACAAAGAAAGTATTAAATTCATCACTAATTGAATACGGTCCTAAATTTGGATGTTTACGGCTGGAATTATCTAACAAACTGATAAACAATATCTACACATCTACTGCACATCTTGAGGTAGGGGCTTCTCACCGGCCATGATTCAGTCCGGCAGCTGTAAACGATCTGTCCATCCACCATATTTGAAACGCGTTTTAGTAGACGTAAGCTATAATTATAATTATTGTGTTGATGAGTACAGCTAGTATCTTAAATATGATTAGAGAAAAAAAGAACGTATCTCCAATTTTTCAGATACGCAATTGGTTTACAAGTTGATGACATTTTCAGGTCAACGGCAATCGAGAACACATCTTGAGTATGTTCTAATTGGAGATGAATTGTAGCATCTCGCTTCAGTTGCAACATAGCTCTCGTGTTATGGAATGGAAACTTTTCATTACTGTACCACAAGTATAATGCTAAAAGAAGCTAGATGCTAGAAGAAGTCCGAGTATCTCACTTTTTGGTAATAAGTCTCGGCGCTTGTTCGAATCGTATCAAATAGTTTTTGGATGGGTCGTGAATAGTCTCGATAATTGGTAACGTTCTCATGTCTAAAATTTTTCATATAATTTACCGCTCTTGGCCTACCAGACTGACGACGTTTCGACCAATTTTGCAGTTGTACTTGTAAGAAAACATCATTTTTAAATTATTTGAGAAAATCCAGCTGCGTACATGTAAGTTCCAATGTTGTCGCATCTTTTTAGAACCGGCTGCGTTGGACAAGTAAACCAATTCTTTTAATTCACTTGAAACTCTCCGACAAGCTTTTTGACTTTTGTTCGATTTTATACGTTTTATATTATTTATACAGTTGCAAAAATATTGCATTTTTATCCAGTTCTGATCTATGTTTGAAGTTGCAAGTCCCTTCAGTTCATCGGTAACTTATTTTCAAATCGATTGCAAACTCTCAACCAAACAGGCAAGGAGCGAGTAAAAACGTGTAACAATATGAATAAAAATTCAAAGCGTTTCATATTTAACATTACTACAAAATACCCATTTAATTTCGCATGAAATTTGTTTTACTGCCGAGCAGTTTATATCTATTATTCATTTGTTGGGCAGTGTATGAAATGTCAAACGCTAATAAAGCCAAACGTTGCAGGAATTTATGGATGCGCAGTAGTTCTCTCTCTATATGATATTGGCTTTTGCTACCGTTGAGGTGCATTAGGCCATGCGCAGTAGTTCTAAAAAAACTGTGAGATAGAAATAAGAAAGAGTCTTTAGCTTTCTACTGTGATCAAAGGTCCCGACAAAAGTGAAACTACTGGTTAGCGTTATACTTGTGTGACTGTAACTGTTTTGTTACACATTACTCTATTTTCCACCATTTTCTGTTAATATTTTTTCAACTATTGTACCTGTTGAACAACGTTAACTCGAGAATTCCGACTTTTAACTAGGAATAATGTGAATCGTGAATAACGTCAGGTTAGATTGAAATCTCAGGTTGGGTTATATGGAAAAAGTCTAACAGGTGGTTCATATAGGGAAAACATTTTTATTTTACTTCAAGCAATCATACAGCTGAATTTTAATTTGAAGGGTGGTGTATCTAGAAAAATGCGAATATTAAAAAAAATAACATGGGCATAAAAATAGTTGAGAAGGAAAGAAATAGTATGTTTATTACGGTAGATGAAATGGGGTTGATTTTAGGGGTGGAAAATGGTTTTTCATAACTTTAATTGAAATTAGCCCTTCACTTTTTTTCAATTTGTAGGCAAAATTAATGAACACGACCAGTTAACTGAATTTTCCAGTAGTTTATAATATTAGGCAGTAACTTTTCGGGGTGAACTTTTTAGTTTGCCGTTTACTTACTGATTTATCTTTTATTTTTTCAGATTGTGGAAGGTTATAAACCCCAAAAAACAGTAAAAAGTATTGAATCCTCCACAAAAAAATATGTCGTTTAAAGAATATTTACAAAATAGTTTTAATTATATTTGATGGAAACTAATCTTATTGTGATTCAAGTATGTTGCATTTCTCTGAATCAGAATATTCATTTTTACATTTTATTTAGATGTTGATCCAAAAAAAAAACATTTCCAGCCTAAAATACTAATAATGTAAACCATCAACAAATGTGTATTCCACAAAAAAGTCAATCAAGTTGCTAATGAAAATTATTGATTATCATTTTTAGTGTTGCCCATCTTTACACTTGGCTACACCGCGCTGATGAGGCCAATAGCCAGAAACACGTGTCCGCGGTTTGCCCCACTTTTGGAGTGCTGTGTCCACTAATTGTTTCATTTTTGATTTTTACATCATACCCACTCGATAAAACTGGAGGTTAGGAAAACACTTCTATTCCTTCGAAATATTTTTAATAATTGTCAAGGAGTATGTAACAATATGAACTATGTTGATAAGGTAGGGTGATTTAAAGTGATGGAAAATCAATATAAAAGGAGAAAAATCATTATAACTGTTTCTTTGAAAGAAAGGGTTTCAGTTCACTGAAAATTTGATCTTGTTAGGGAATATTGAAGTCTTCAGAAATTGGATAATGATTGGGAGCAGTTGTTGATGATTGAGAAGGTGAAGATGAAAGGTTCCCTGGTAAATCACAGAAACACAAATTGAGTTGAATGAAAATCTGTCATTTATTTCGCGATTTGAATAATTATCAACTACTTCATGAATTCCATCTTACCTTATTCACAGAATTTTTTTGGTTGTATTCGAAATAACTAGTGCAATTTGGACGTGTTTGCAACCACTGTAAATGTCAGTTCCAGGTGAGAATATGTTTAAGTACACCGCACATAGCTATCAGCATCTTTGGAGTGCTCCCAACTGCATGGGTTCTATGGAAGGAATGCATGTTGAAATGAGAAAATCCAAAAACTCTGGCTCGACTAATTTTAATTTCAGAGGTTACACTTCTGTTCAACTTATGGCATGTGCTGATGCCGTTGTTTCACAACCATTGATGATGGAGATCTTGGAAGAAACAGTGATTGGGGAGTATTCCGTGCATCATGTTCAGGTAATGTTCACCGAATTTCTTGAAACCCGGTTTTCTGAAGCCGATGAAACTGAAGTATCATCAAACGCTGTATGCACCAACCAGTGTTAA